AGGGTGCGTGGACCCCCACCGGAGGTGGGGGTCTGGTCGCGTTGGTCCCCGAAGCTTGGGGAGGCCGGCATGCACCAGCCCGAATTAAACGTCTGAGATAGTCTCTGGGCGAAAAGGTGCTTTTCACTGTTGGTTTCCGACTCTTTGTTCAAGGGGTGTCCCGGACCCGTGATTGAACAATAAACACGAGTCACTGCCTGTACAGTTTATGACATTTAATATTCATGTTCAAATCATGACAGTGATTGATTTACAACCTTGCCAAAAGCCCTGATTACTGCAATTAGCTGGAGCTTTAATTGGCTTATAACAAGAGGGACCATTTATTAAGCCAGAGTTGATAACAAGAAGCCTCATCACTTTCGCAGTTGGAGCATCCATCAGCCAGAGCTGGAGCTTCAACAAGCTGCACCTCAAATTACGTCAGGCTGAAAAAAGCAGCAGGAATTGAAATTACTTGTGGCTTCAAATACCCTGAGCTGTAACATGCTGGAGAGTCTGTCAGCAGGAGTCGTAAGAAGCAGGAACATCTCTTATCCGGAGCTGCTGTTCGGCTGGAGCTGTAACAAGCCGTCATGTCTGTCAGCCTGGGCTGCACTCCCAGTACGTTTGAACAGGAGAGCGTCTGCTCTCCGTAGCCTCTGTTAAGGAAAGCTAAACTTACCTGCAGCTCTTTACAGGAAGGAGCAACTATTAGCAGGAACATCTTGTGGCTGGAGCTGTAACAAGCCAGGGTGTCCATCAGGTGGATCTGTACTCTGAGGCAGGCGCAGATAGGGCTGTCCTCAACAATGAGCTCCAAGCAGCAGTGAGGCAAGTCATCTTTCTGCAAGCAGGGAGCCTGTCCTCTTCCCTCAGGGATTAAATCTTTGCCATGTACCTCTTGCTGCACGGAGGGTCTCACCCAGTCCCACTCCCGAGGGCAGAAGTGAGGTGGGGGTCCCCCCAGGTCTCCTGGGACAGGGTGGCGGGCAAGGCAGCGTCAGCATCTTGTCTATACCTGCAAAAGGGGAGCGAAACCAGTTGGTCAGAGCTCCCGGGGTACATAGCACAGCCCCACACTGCCCCACATAACCCACAGGAGATGCCTGTCCCCCTCCCGCCTGCCCCTCACTTTCAGCAGAGGCTGCCCAGCACCGCACACAGGCAATGGGGACAGAGAAATGACAACGGGAGAGCTCAGGGCTCAACCCAAAAAAACACATTCCTCGCAGAAGAGAAGGTGAGAACGCACACCTCGCTGCAACCCCTCTGCTCAGCGAGGAGCATTTCAGGCACAAAGTGACACCGAGCAATACTGGGACTGTGGACAGGCTGTTCCCATCCAGGGCCCAGCCTGGCACAGCACATGCCCCCCTGGCTGCCATCCTGCCCCTGCCCAGGAGCAGGACTGGGGGAGCCACCAGCTGCGCTTCGCATCCTGCTAAGCATCCTTGCCGAGCCCAGCGCTAAACATCAACTAAAGCCGAAGCAACGAAAGTGCTAAACATCAAATACAGTAAACATCAAATAAAGCTGAACCAACCCAAGTGAGTTTCAGGAATGGCCCAGTACAACCAGGAGCCCCATGGGGGAGCAGGACAGGGCTGTCATGAGCCCAGCTGTGGCCGAGACCACCAGCGCTTGCTGGGTGCAGGCTGGGCAGTTGCTGATGGCATGGGGAAAAACCGCCCTGGGACAGCGCTGGCACAGGAGCTTCCCTCAGCTCCCCCCACAGCAACTGGTCCCAGAACTGTGGGGTGCAGCCCCAGTCCCTGGCCTGGCCCCGCTGCAGCCAGGGCCCCTACCCAGGAGTGCTGCTGGCACAGCCCCAAACCGCCCTGCAGCAGGACACACAACACTACCAGAAGCCACAAGCAAAAACGTTTTCATCCAAAGCAACAGCTGGGCACAATGGAAATGCAAGGCACCCAACCCTGACCCCACTGCAGCCCAGGAGCCATGCCAGCCCCCAACTGTCCCAGGACAGGACTGGGATCAGCACCACAAGCATGGCATATTTTCCTCCTCAACCACAGCCAGGCACAGCTTCCTCAGCTCATGGGTGTTTGGGGTGTTGCCACATGCCTGACCCTGCCCAACGCCCCCAGAGCACGGCACAGCTGGCTGCCCGCTTCAGCACACTCACCGGACATTTCCTCCCATGTCGGCGTCCCCCGGTGTCAGGGCCATGCTCCTGGCCCAGGCTCATCCTCACATGGCAGGGCCATGCTCCTCACCCTGACCCAGGCTGAACCTTCCTGCCGGTCAGCTGCTCCCCTGCCATGTTGCCTGCACTGAAAACAAAACCTGTCACGAAGAAGCAGCCGCCAGCGTTGCAGCTGGGAGGATGAAGCTCTCGCTCGAGCGGGAGCTCCCAGCCCACACCACAGCCAAGCAAGAGGCAACTTTACCTCTCGCTTTACCCTGATGCCCGGGGGATCCTGGTGCGAATGCCCCTCCCCGAGTCACGGCAAGTCTGCAGGAGCAAGGAGCCCAGCTGGGACATCCTGGCCCAGTTCTCCTGGCCGTCCCCAGCCTGGGCTGCGCAGAGGCTCCTACCGGCAGCCGGGACTCCTGTACTCCTCCCACGTTAGCTCCCTGCAGGCAACAAAACCCATTAGTGAACGCAAACACTACTTGTAAAAGGTTTAAGGGCTGCAGCTGAACGCTGTCATTTTCTGCTCTGTGCAAGGCATGCAACAGGGGCCCAGCCTGCCCTCCTGCTGGCTGCAGCTTTCTGGGCCAGCGAAGCCCCAGTGTCCCCTCGGGAGGCTCCTCCTGGGCAGGCTGCGCCAGGGGCCGGACTAGAGGCTTTGCCCCCTTTTCTTCCCCCGTCCCCCTGCCCGCGCCCCTCGGTCCCCACCAGCCCCTTCCCAGCCTGACCTGCAATTGTGGCTCGTCCCGGTTCTCCCGCAGCGGCTCTGCCGGCGTCTGGCGAGCCCGGGGCAGGAGCTGAGCTGCGCCGGGCAGGGTTGCCCGGGCAGGGCCTCCCGGTAACGAGGCTCAGCCCTGCCTGACGCTCATTTGGAGGCACGGACAACAGCGAAGCTTTTCCCCAGGTTTTCCCGATTTTGCAGGCGCAGCCGGGTGGCTGTGATTGGGAGGAGCCCTATCCTCACGGCAGCTCCGGCCGGCAGCCCCCGGCGCACGGTTTCTCGCGGGCCGGGTCTGAGCAAACGGCGCCAGGGTTGGTAAAACCGCTCCCGTGCTCGCAGGCGCGGCTCCGGGTCACCGCCTGCTCCCCTCCTCTACCGGGTGAGGCGTGTTTATCGCCCGCAGAGGCGCCGGCCCGCGGGCGGCTGCCCGCTTCCTCTCCGCGCTCAGGGCCGCGGAGCCGAGACACGCGGGCGGGGCCCCGGCTGCCGAAAGGCCCCCGCGGGTGCCCGGGGCAGCTCCACACGCACGGTCC